GTGTGTGTGTGTGTGGGTGGGTACAAGTTTCGCGAATGATCAAATTTGGCGTTGGGGCAGACGGCTACACCCTGAAGCTCATTGACCCCCGAAGAGTCGAAAAGCGTGGGCACAAGACAAACAGCTGGGCTGCCCCACGCGAGGTCTAACTGATGCCTGGCATTGACCATGGCCAAAGCGTAGAGAAACTCAGAGATCTGGCCAGAAGGTGAGGGTCTTCGGGATTAGAATAACCACCAACTACAGAATTATAGGCATCTACAGACCATAGCACGGCCATAACAACAGAACAACCCAAACTGTCTGGATAACCCCCTACAAAATACCTTCAAACCCGTGCAAGCCGTTTCAAGCCCTGAAAATAATCATAACATCTTCTAAAGACGCCCGTACACCAGCCTGCAGTGGGATCTGTTCTTGGCTAAATTATCAAAACCAATGAACGACGCTGTGAGCGCCTTTTACCGCGCTTGATTTGGAGGAACGCCAATAATGGGCTGAAACAAATTTCCTGTAAAACTGTAATGAAGTTCGCTACTTAACAGTTAGACTCCTGGGACTGACACGGTCTAACTTAGCGTTAACATAGGTTTCATGTAACGTCTTCGCCCATTTCAACGATGTCCACTGCAGCACTGAACAAACAATAAGTTTTTCAGGCCCGTTCGGTGCATTCGGGAGGATCGATGCAACAGGTTTGATGTTTGTCTTCCGGAAGAGATTGCAGAGGCACAGTGCACCCCGAAAGATGTCACACGACGACAAGTTCCGACGCATCGACTATAAGCGTGGCGCGAAAATCTCGTGATCGCCGACGCTATGCACCATCTTATGCACCGCGGAATTTCATACCTTCCTTCTTAAACGGATTTGCGTGATTTGCACTGTCTGGAGGCCAGCTCAATGCAGCTGAAGAGGCCATCATCAGGCGTGCGTGCGCAGCCCGCAAGCCCAATGACTTCCGCGCAACTTACTGGCTGCATGATCAGAATAAAGCACTACCGCACAAGCGCGCAAGCACGTGCTGTGGTGGCGCCGGTGGTGGGGGTGGTGGCGGCAGTGACGATGGCAAAGCTTAAAAGTGACGTGTTGAGTACTTGAAATAAATGATCAAGATGGACGTGACTTGTAAGGCTGTCTTGATGCTTCTGTGAGTGATGTCTTGTCACGACCCATGATGAATGCATATCAGTGCCGTAACTTTCTTGTTGCCTAGAATTGCCTAGACATACCGGAAACCTACACGGCCAAAGAACAGTCCATGTTGCAACGAACACACGAGTGTGACGAACTCAGCACGCTTCACGAGCACGGAACAACGAGAGCGGAAGCTCCGGAAAACATGAACGACGACACATTTGCTCACTCAGGAGACTCGGCGCTGCTGCCAGGCTGGCCGTTCTTTCGCTGAACTGTGTCCTTGGAGCGTGCGCCAACTTGCCCAAGTGAATGGTGCCGTACAGGACAGCTGGCAAGTGCACTGTTTTTTCAGGTGCTCCATGTTGGCCCAATTTTCATTGAAGACGATAGACCGATTCCAAGACGATGTGTACCCGAATTAAAGGACCAGGGATTGAGTTGACTTGCTCCCAGGGTCCAAATAAAAGCTCTTCCAAGGCCCACACCGTTGCGGGTGTCTCATGTCGAACTCCAACCCCCGGCACTAAACGAAACCCTCAACTCAGCAAGCTGATATTTTCCACACCAAAAAAAATCGAAATCCCCGCTGACCCCAAACCCTTCCTAAGGAATCACAAAACTGTTGTTTTTCTTTGAAGGGGGAAGGGGGGGGTGCTCCTCATTTACATTGGGTTAATGCGCGGGCTCTACCCTGCGATCAAAGGTTCGGGCTCCCATGGCAAGCCTTGCTCGAAATAGCACGCAAGCAACAAGATGTTAAGGTCTTGGATGAGCCCCTGTGAACCCAAACATCTACAGCCCTACACCCCGACACAGCCCTTCATGACCCGTGCACCAACCCCTATAAGATCCAACAAAGCCCTCAACCGCCAACCGTTTCAAACCCAAATAAACTCTAAATCCTAAACCCTAAGCATTCCTAAACCTCAAACCCTGAACTGTCTGGAGGCTTAAACTCCGTGCTGTTGACCTGGGATCCCACCAGTCGATGCAGATCGGGCCTGGCATCTTGAGGAGAGAAGGGCCTTGATATGATGCGCTATTAAGCTATTGTGTGTGCATGTACGTGTGTGTGTGTG